TTGGATTATGTGTAGGAATACTCAATAAAAACACATTAGTTTTATTCTTCAAAGTAAAACTCTTTAATGATCGCACGCAGAAGGTATATCTTTCTCCAACGAAGTCTCTAGGACGACTAACTAAAAGTCATGAGAGTTTTCACTCTCTGGACCCATTTGACAAAAGGCCCTTGTTTCAATTTTCTTCAGCCTCTCCTTTGTGACTCACCATGAGGACTGTTTTTCTTCACGTCTCTATTTTCTAAGAAAAGCCTTAAATGTCACCCTGAGTGTTTGGGTGGAAAAGAGAAAATGTTTAACTAAACTAAGAAATTAATTTTTGTATTCAGGCATGAATTCCAACATAAACAATTGGAATAAATCAATTGGAATAATTAAAAATTGTAAGGTTTTCGTTGGGATACCACGGGTAGTTTGATCATGAAAGTGTCTATGCAAGAATTGTGCCGATTTGCTGTCTCTTTGACAAATTACAAGACGGGATACTTATGAGTTTTAAGTGAACAGTTTTGCGATTTTCACCTACAATTGAAATGAATAATGTCAATTTATTTCACGAGTGATCACAGAAAAATCAACTGGCAATAAAAAATTGAATAATTTCGTTAGATTCTCAGCGGAACTTACATTGAGTGAAGAAGTCGTCTTTGATAAAATGTAACGAACACACTTTCATTGATTTTGTCACTGGCTTTCTGATTCTCAAAATTTTTTTCCAAGCAATTAGACAATCAACTGTTTCCTCTTCACCGAATTTCGTTTTCAATTTTACGAAACTGTTGTTTTTTAAAAGGAAATTGGAAGAATCTCACTGTAGGATTTCGATAGACTAATTGTTGCAGCCAGGCACACTGCAAAATTCATTGTTTTTTGTTACTCTGATGTCAAACTCCATTTTTTGATTGAAAAATAGTATTCTCTTTGCATTTAGGATAACCTTGTAACTGGGTTAATATGCACAAACAACATGAATCACGAAAAATTTAATAATAATCGGCAGAAAACTCTTTTGTATACATAAACCCATTCAGTGGCTCCAAGTTACCTGTTCGCACTAGTACGCGCTACGGCCGCTAGAACGCGTCATTCAATGCTAGAGTTCCCAATAGGAGCACTCGGGGCCTAGCCCCACTCTCGGCACTTTTATCGTCTCCCGAATGTTAAGTTCCGTGGGCTTATAAGATACCTGTGATCTCGATCATTTTTTAACGGGAAAAGAGTGATTATAAGGATCAATACGGAGTTAAGGGTCAAGCTGGAGGGACAAGTGAAGTGATCATAAGGGTCAAATGACCTTAAGGGTCAAGCGTTCAAACGTGAGATCGAGTCATGTGAAGTAATCAGAGGGTTAAACGATCCCAAGGGTCACCTCTTTTCTTCTATGCTATAATTATTATAATGATGACGCAGAATTATCATACTAGAATAAAGCCTAATTAAAATTCAATTAATTTACGTACTTTTAATAACTTGTACTTCAGCTGTCCAAAAGTGATTATTCTCAAGTCCCCCAACAATCCCCTAACATCAGCTGCCGTTCTATCACGCGGGGTTATGTTTAGAGAGAAAAGGGAACGCAGGGTATACGAATTCAAAGCATTGAAATCGTCTAAATTGATTGGGTGCCAATATCCATTTGATGAAAATGAATATTCGGTAGAATTTAGTATCTTATTTCAAACTGCTAATTCCTATTTTCCTCCGCTCTATAAGCGCGCACAGCGGGGGTATACGGATTCCCGGAGTTTCACTCTCCTACACGGAGACATTTTTGATAAAAATTATCCTATCGTTCTATCAAAGTGTATCATGAGTCATCGTTTCCTCATTTCTATCTCGAAATTTAGTAAAAATTAAGATATGATGATCAAATTTTATTCTACGTTTGAGAATTTTATCCTGACGCATAGCAAATTTTACACTTCCAGTCCAATAATTTTTATGTAGATAACAACGAAAATTCTCGAACGGTTGGTAAATTGTACCCTACCGGTACAGTAACTTTTACTCTGCCGGCACAGTAATTTTTATTTTTATCAGAATAAAATTTCTCTAACGTAGAATAAAATTTGATCATCATATATTAATTTTTACTAAATTTCGGGATAGAAATGAGGAAACGATGACTCATGATACACTTTTATAGAACGGTAGGATAATTTTTATCAAAAATTTCTCTCCGTGTACTGTCCCTAAGGTATCTTATATAAAGCCTTAACTGTATCTGGATCTAATATAGCGGAGTGCACTTTCATCCTATTCTGATCAGTTAAATCACGACTGAATCCATAATCGAATTCAGTACTATTCATCAGAAAGATCGGATCCTAATATTTTGACCAGATCTGGATCTAAAGAAGTGTTACATTCAAAATTGATCAAAATGAGTTTCGACTGTATAATCAGTCTCTTATTCTGGCCTAATTTGAGTTTCTACTCGGGAAAATGTAGAGGCTGATAAAATTACACAAACGGCTATGAAAACTGTCGTCTTCCATTGAAAATCTTCATCTTGGAATCAACAATTACCTGCAGATTCTTGAAATGAATGAATTGTTTGTAGATACCCGGAACTGATATTATCTTAGAAAGTGGAACGCCTATTTATATATCGCTATATGGACTCCACGACGATCCCAGATTTTTCGAAGATGCAGAATCTTTCAAACCCGAACGTTTTGAGAAAGGCGAGGAAATTCCGACAGCTTATATGCCATTTGGCCTTGGCCCAAGGCAGTGTATTGGTGAGGAATTTTATACAGATAACATCAAAAACGCTAACTTCTATAAATTTAAAATTGACTGATGAGATTATATCCAATGATATATCTCCATTTCTCACCACCTATCGGCAAAAAATTTTTAGGAATGAAATTGGGACAATTATTCTCAAAGATCGTGTTATCAATTATCCTGAAGGACTATGAAATTCATCAAAATCTGGAGGACGAATACTATTTGGACTCACGATCAACTTTGACAACCGCTGCCAATGGAATTGTTTTGCACTTGAGAAAACTCGAGACGTAATGGATTTGAAAATATTTGTGACGAAATTCCAGGCGAATTCGTCACCTGCGGAACTCCAGGGTATTTATGTATAGAAAGAGAGAGAGAGAGAGAGAGAGAGAGAGAGAGAGAGAGAGAGAGAGAGAGAGAGAGAGTAAAATTTTATAAACCGTTACCTTTTTGTCGCGATAAAAATATATACGGAGAGTTAGAGCTACCTGCTACCTTAACTCTACTTCAGAGCTACCTTAAGTTCGGAAAACTACTTAAATTGGTTACCTATCGCGTGAATCGATTCCCTAACATTTTAGAACAATATTCATTAAATAACTTCATTAAATAAACCAGATATTTTGCAGATATTTCTCTTTTCGAGTCATTTTTGTTGAGTTAAAGTTTAGTAATTTTGAGATTTCCCTACGTAAATTCGGTTAAGGATCAGGATATCACCGTGGAATATTTGGCCAAGATAATGTGCTACCCAGTGTTTTCTGTAACCCTTTTGGTTTGTCGATAGAGTGAGTACATAGGTCGAGTTGAAATGCTTGCGCTCCCTTGAGCGAGAGTGTTAGGGCTTTCAGTTGGAAGGCCATGGAGACGATTGCCCAGTCGTCGAAACGGATCGCCATTGGGCTTTTAGTTTAGTTAAGTTTGCGTTTGAGTTTTCGTTGGTAAAGTCCTAATTCCTCTCCGGAGAGTGCCCTCTGTAGATAAGCTACCTTATTCCGATCGTAGATGGAGTGAAGATCCGCTCAGCCATCTCAGTTTCACGTTGAGTTCAAGTAATTTCAGTTTTGTTCAGTTAAAATAATCAGAATCAATTCTAGGAAAATTTAAATTTAAATCTTTAAATATTTCGCGCACAATTACCCCGGGAATCGATAGTTCGCGTCTCCGGCACTCGAGTCAGCACCGTACGGGGCTAGTCTCCCCCAGACTCCCCACCACTATGCAACAGGCCCGAGCGGACACACGCGATAGTCGCCATTAGAGTATCCACCCGGACGACTAAGAGTGAGGTACGAGTCGATCTAGCTCCCTGAACCAGTTCTCTTTCGAGGTAATTATCGAGGCCCCGTGATCCAAATTCAGTCAAAATCAACGCTCCAGACCATGGTAAGTACTCGTGTACTTATTTAGGAGTGATTAAAAGTGAAATAGTGCGGTTTTTCGGTAAAGCAGTTGGACCACGCGGAATGGCGTCGCTACCTCTCGGAATGACGCCAACACCGATACTCATGGTTTGAAGGGTAGGAAATCCTTCAAACAAACCCAAATGCTCCCTGGAAGCTACCTGAAATTATCTAGTTAATAATTAGGCTACCTGAATAAATCAAAATATTAATAATGCTACCTACCATAACGTTTATGCAAAAATTCAGGCTTTATGCGTCTCGCTACGGCGATTGATGCCATTCGCTACCTACTTCATTGCTACCTTTTTGCTTGCTACCTTTTCTCGCTCTCTCTACGTAATTATTCTATGCTACCTATTTCTTTATATTTCTCCGACTCACAAGAGTTCTGGAGGAAAAATGATGCTACCTGAATTGTTCGGAAACTACCTTTTTTTTTGTTTTAATGCTCTCTAGCGTTCGTTGAATTTTGGATTCCGGTTGGGCATGGGGACGCTATCTTTTTAGTTACATTTACTTTTATGGTTGGAATCCAGAACAATAAAATTATCTAAGCTCTCTTACGTTCATGAATAAGCTACCTATTATTTTGGAAATTATTGGAGACCGTAAGCTACCTATTTTCATGGAGAAAACCTCCATTTCCGGGTTAGAAACGCTCCTTTCCGGTAAATCAGCCACGTGGCTGATTCAAGCTCCCTAGCTCATTTTTGCTACCTTTTCGGTGAATGAGATTCCCGATTTTAATGGGTTACAAATGGCATAAGAATTAAGTAAACCATTACAAAGGCGCTCCATAATTCGTAATTCGATTAATTACAGTCGAAAATAAGAAAAATTAGTACCTTTTCGTGAGCTCTCCTTTTTTTTTTTTTCGCGTAGTTACCTCATCCGTTCTCTCTCTCGCACGTACGCTACCTTCCTATAGTCTCTCTCTCTCGGATTCGTGTTCCCCTCGTGGACAATACCTTTGCTTCTCTCTATCAGCTTTGGATTGGGATCGCTTTCTTTTTCATACTTAAAATTATTATTCGCATCTTTCGAGTCCTTTTGGAGTTTAATGGATCATTTCAGAGTATTTAAAATTATTTTGAGTCACATTCATGTAATTTTGTGTTTGTACGAATTTACGATTTTGTATTAATATCGGCAATAGCGAAACACGTCAGTACAATTGTGTTTATTATTCAATGTCGACCTTACCTATCCCGTTTGGAATTTAAGACATTGGTTTATTGGTTTCTCGATCGATGATTGGTTTTGTTAATTGATGTTCTCGTCCACGAATCCACCCCTCTCTCCACGACCCGCACACTGAGCAGCCGAGTAAATCCCGTACCCTCGTAATCCACATTTCTGCGTATGGTTTGCGATATGTTTCTTGTCGTTATTGGATTTTTGGGGACAATCAGTATTTAGTTTTAAGAAAATACGGTTCCGTTTGCGGTTTGTCGATTCCGCGTTGCTAAAAATCGGCTGGCGCCCTAAATACACGAAATAAGGATTGGATGAGCTGCTGATTATTCCCGAAGTCCAGTGTTAGCGTTATGGTTTCTGGCGTTTCAGACTTGTCGGATTACGAGAACGAAGGTAATGAATTGGCCGTGTTTGGATAATCGAGACTTCTGGGTTAGGGTTTATTGAGTATTTGTTGAGGCCAAAGAAAAATCATTACATATTATATAGTCGCATTTAAATTTATCTGTCACTTTTTGATAACTCACTTTCCTCTCTTGAGTTCACTGTCTCATCCTCATTATAAAAGCCATACACATTCACATATTAAGAAAATACATACGTACATTTCCCCAAATTTTTTGTGATGATGGTGAGTATTTTAATGTTTAAAAAATCAGTGCCGGATTGGGCTGTGAGCGCACGGAGATAAATGTTCAGTAAAAATTACAAAACTCACAATTCGCTCACCGAATACGGAATCGACTCAGAAAATTTAAGTGATGGTATCGTAATTTTTCACAGGACATTCAGATAAAAATTACGGAACGCTCTGAAAAAATTCCGTGACAGTTCCGTAAAATTTTCTACACCCACATTTCGCTCGGGAATTACGGAAAAGATACGTAATTTTTATTGAATATTTCTCTCCGTGCGGTAGGGGTTGGTGCAATTGGGTGTAACCCATTATGGGTCGAACCAATAATTTCCCGACCGAATTCCTTTTTTTCTGTTGATTACAAAAAAAGCAGATTTTGAAAGTTTCATCCAAATAACTGAACAGCCTCTAAGACGATTCCGCTCAACACTCAATTAGAATTGAGTTGTATGAAGACGCATCGATTATACAAAATTAACCTTTACATCGCACTGTCGGTATATAGGACAGCTGTCAAAACTTCCACAGTGCATAACTATTGATAAATGTAAGAAAACAATTTAAACTTTCAACAGCTTCCTATTTCATCGATTCTAATCGATACAAAACATTTTGTTTCGTCCCGGTAAATCCATGAAACCACCACTATTTCTTAGAATTTATTCACTGAGAGGATTGATAATTTGATGATTATTCATAATGCATGCCATATTTTTATTAGTCCCATAATCGAGGATTAACAGATGAGATTTATATGTTCATAACAAATATTGATGTGCTTTAAAAAAAAATCAAATTAATGAAAGTATATACTCATACATTTTGCCTCTTCTGTTCAACCCTTCCGCGTTGTCACCTTTCCCCATTTTAGCTCTCATTGAACCTTCAGTTACAAAAAATATTGATTCATCCGTTCAAACAAACGGGAAATGCGATTCAGACGGAGTAGCGGACTGATAGACCGCGGTGTAAGAAAACGAGTATCTTCCGAGGGGTTCAGTGGAAAAATTAATTCATATCTTATCGTTGTTTCAGGTGAAATCCTCAAATTTCAATGGAATTGTCAATTTTTGCGTTTTTTCCCAAGTTTTATGCGAATAGCTATAGAACCGCTGAGGCGATTGTCTTCATGAACTTATCAGTTTCTCAATTATATGAAGACATATCGATCGAAAAAAATATTCGAATGGCTTCCTTTGTTCAAAAGATATCGTTGGACAAAATTTTGACCTCATACACACATACACACACACACACACACACACAGACGCGCGGGCGCAACTTTAAAAATGTATCAGGATGATTCTAGGGGTCATGAATCGTCGACAAATCATCGAATTTCCACATTTGATTTTTGGGGTAATTACAATAACTTCCTCCCTTTGAGTCGGGAAATTAATTGATGTGTCATATAAATACTTCCGAGCTGGGAAAAAAAAACAATTCCCAATCAAGTAAATGTTTAAATAAATGATTTTGTGCGTATCACTGTTCCTGGATTTTTCAATTTTTTTGCTAACTCATGCAGTCATGAATAAAATGACAATTGATTCCCGGAGATCAATAGGTGGTAGGATAAAGACTGATTATCATTCGGATATCAGTTGATTGTCATTAAATCCATAATTGTGATTGCTGGTGTATCAATCAATTATCAATTTTTTCCCTTCAATAAGCTTTGAAATGAGATCAAATAAACGTTCAAATCGTATCATGTATCGTATGAATGTGGTTAGCAAATTTCAAGGTTTGAGAAGCTCCTTGCACAGAAAACGATCAATGTTCACGGAAGAAAAAAAATAATTGCGTACAAGATTCGGTGGAATAGCGAACTCATCCTTACAACACTGTATGAAGCAAACATAAAACGATTTTTATGTCTATAATCATGCGGTTGGAGTCCTCCCTGAGGCACTCACTATTACCACGAATCCATCAGATATTAATTTCAAACATCTCTGCGACTTGCGACGCACTCTGAAGACCTTTTTGATCTTGACGTAGGCTTGTGGTTGACATTATAATCAAAAGTTTGCAGTGACGACAGGGTTTTTTATGCGAATGACACAGAATAAAACAGGTAAGTGTACATGAAGAAACAAGTTATACAATATTGGAATATTTACGCTGGAAATATTTATTCATGTTTGAAAAAATATTGAGTTCATATATACAAAACTTAATCGTATTTATTTCTGGAGTGGTCTAGTTCTCAGTACGGTCTTTTATAGACTTAATACAAAGGGCTTATTGTCTCTATGTACAAAGAAACGAACTGCGTAGACCATGGAAGAAAGGTGGGAGAAATTAGTTGCAGTTAGTCATCTGATTTTTGAGTCTGTCTCTTATGCGATCTCGTAACGAATGGTTCAGTCCTCTAGAAGTGCTTCTTAATAAATAAAGTGATAAATTAATATAAATCTATCGAGTTATTTTATTCCATATCCCAATAGACAAAAATTACCTAACAGCTAAGTAATAGTGGAGCGAACTCGATTTTCAGTATTTTTTCCTCCTATATCGGGAAAAAAGTGCGATACGAATAGTGAATTTTTCACATACCTGCACGCGGAAGGAAAGTGAACACTTCTTTCCTTCTGCTGAAGTCGAGGCTGGTAAGCACGCGGGTTTTGATGTCGTGTTTTCCTTCCTAGATGCACATATTTTTCGCTGTAACAGCACAATATAGTTAGATTTTTCTTCGTAAATGCGGGGAGTTATATCATCTCGAGGATCGTCGAAAACAACAGAAATCCGAAGAATGAAATAAGCCACACTACTAAAAATTTTCGTCAAAATTTTTCGTGTCATTCCGGAAATTTTTATCGTCCCTAGGAGAACTTCAAACGTTTGGCGCTTCCGGACTTCACAGGGCGATATTTAGTGTCCCGGCGACACTCCGCATAAACGCCTGAGCAACGCGCTCACAAGCATCCACCCAAGTAGAAATTTTAGTACATGGAGCGATAAATTCAATAAAAATTACCAGAAAAAACGTAAAAATTACCAAAACAAACCTAAAAATTACGTTTCGAAATGTAATCCGCGAGCAAAATAAAATTCAATAAAAAGCGTGATTCAGAACTGAAATAATGGAAACAACAAGTCGTTTCGTAATTTTTCCCCAACGATTGAGCAATTTTACTGAATGGAACGTAGAAATAACTCACCAGCTTCATAAAAATTGTTGAACATTTAAGAATTTTTTATTTTGGAGGCATAATAAGTCAGGAAATTTCTGTAAGATTCGCTTCTTCGGGAAAAATTATGTGACAATTTCGTACTTTGTTCGGTGATGAACCTGAGAATCCACAGAACGTTTTCAGATTTTTTTCTCTTCCATTCCCATAAAAGTTTCCGAAAAACGATTCCCCATTGCCGATTACGTGAATTGTTCCGTCATTTTGACTATCCACTCTATCATCGCGTCATTCTTGAAGATGGTCATTTCTTTTGTGTATAATTTTCCTGATAATCAACCCCCCTCACCTCTGACCCTCCACCCTTTTTCACTTCCGCCCCAACTCTTTGCTAAGTCAAAATTTTCCCAAGTTCCGTATGGCCTTACTCGGTCCAGATCATTAACGGATCAGATTCGTTGCACTGAACTTATAGAATTTTCGAAGTTAAGGATTCCCTGCATACCTTATCCGGTCTTGATCAGGCATGCCTGCTTGAACTTTAGAATTTATTGGTAAGATGAATATGCAATGGTCTCCTTCAAGTCCTGATTTAAAATTCCGAATTTTTTATCGTGTTCAAGGTCCACTGAAATTTTAGGAAATCTTGTCATTAACAGTTCAGAATTTCGTAGAAAAATCAAAGAGTCAAAAATCAACTGTCAATTTCAATTTCATTTTTCCCTAAAAATACATAGAAAACTAGCAAATTCCGGTAAATATATTCTTAAATTTTCAGGACATTGACATTGAATATAGGGCGAAAACAAGCCGAATATTTTTGAAAAAAAAATCATTGAGATCGGTTGACTCATTATTGAGATATTCAAAACATTAGGTTTACATACAAAGTTGAATATCTGCGAAACTAATTGACCGATCGAGCCCATCTTCCATACCGGTCCTTGCGATGATAAGAGACAGCTACATGCCAAATTTCAAGTCGATATCTCCATTTTTACTCAAGTTCGAGTGCGAACAAGGATTTCAAGTCAAAAACAGAAAAATCCACTGTCAGTTTCAGTGGGCGGGATATCCCCTCTTCCGAGATTAACGATAGTATTTAAGCGAATTCGCATCAGGCATTATCGCAATCATGGAGTGGATCAGTAGCTCCAGCGTCGTTAGTGTCATTAGCGTGACGTTAATCAGTCTTCTGCCGTTATTTCTCTTATTCTGGATTTATGCCAATTATAAATTGAATTATTGGAGTCGTCGGGGTGTGGAGCAGTTACCGAATACCGATTTAGTCTTCGGAAATTTTAAGGATGCTGTTTTGTTTCGAACAGCTCCAGGATGGCACCTGGGGAATCTGTATCGCGCTGCGAGAAAAGACTCACCATTCGTCGGTTTCTACATATTCCACAAGCCCTGTCTTCTTCTCCGAGATCCTGAGATCATTAAACAGATTCTCATCAGGGATTTCGAGAATTTCTCGGATCGACATTTCGCTGGTAGCCAGCAGAAAGATAGCATTGGCATGAAGAATCTTTTCGGACTGAAGAATCCAGCGTGGAAGTACCTCAGGGCAAAAATAACACCTACCTTGACTAGGGGAAAATTGAAGCAAATGTTTCCACTTATGACGGAAATCGGGGACAATATGATGCATTATCTGAAGGATCAGAAGATTGAGGAGGACAGAACTAGGGTTGTCGACGCGCAGGAACTCAATTATAAATTTACGACTGATCTCATTGCGAGTGTTGCCCTTGGAACGCAGATGGATTCGTTTAATTATCCTAATGAAGAGTTTTCGAAATGCGGTGAGTACCTCTTAAGGAGAATTCAAGTGATTTATTTCAATATTCAATGAAATGATTTATTTAATTTCAACTTTTCCATTCTTACATGAAGAACACCACAAAAGAAAAAATTCAGTGAAAAAATCTAGTGAGCTCACTAGACAATTCTATTGAACTTTCTATTAGTTTTTGACCGATTCTATTGAAATATTCAGGAGAAAATGTTCTCTAGAAAAAGTCAAGAATTCGATTTTTCTATACAATTTATTCTATTGAGATATTTTTTATAGAATTGCCCTGGCTCAAATTTTCTAAGTTTTTTGTTTGATTTTTTGAATGAAAAGAAAATGAAAATTGAATGAAAAAAATTGGAAAATTTGAACCGAAGAAATTCTATAGAAAAATCGAATTCTGTTGACTATTCTCTATAGAATATTTTTTATTGAATGATTCAATAGAATCGACCAAAAACTAATAAAAAATTCAACAGAAACACAATAGAATGGTTTTGCAAATTTGTCAAGTTTTTCTATTAAATTTTGTTGTGGGTGACGCACTCCGTAGAAATTTTTATTAGACTTCTATTGATAATTCTATTAGTTTTCCTACGATTCAATGGAACGATTCTATTTTTCAATGGAACAGGCTTAATCTAAACTGCTCCATAGAAGGAGTCAATAGAATTTAATCTTTCTGTAGAATTTACTCAATTGACACATTTTTTGTACAAATTTTTCAACATATATTTTCGAAGCTTTTCTCAAGCTATTATTTGTCTTCTCATTAGAAAAATCAGACGAAAAAACTATAGAAATTCAGGCCGAGAAATTTATCCAGAAAATATACCAATACAATGAATGATATCGAAAAATCAAATTCCTTTGATTTTTTCTATGAAATATTTTCTATTGAATATTTTTCTTTCCAAGTGGAAGCTTTGTGATTGTTGTTTTGAACGATCTTGTAATTTTGCCGGAAAATGATACAGAATGTCGTGAAACGTGAAGACGATATATTTAGAAAGTTTTTTATAAATCTTCACAAAAAAAAAGTAAAGTTGAAACTAAAAATCTGAAAATTTATCAAATAATTGCTACTATTCAGGAGCACTTCTAGGAGAAATTTCAGGTCAATTGGTCAAGTTAATGGGCCAAGATATTGAGGACAAAAATTTCTGAGCAATTGCTGTATCTCAACAACTACATGATTAAATTGAAGGTTTTTGACGTCCATATTTTCCTTGTACTATGTACCTAATCAAGTCACAATATCTCTACGTAATTAGAAGCAGCTTGATAATAATTGGCATTTTTCCTTGTCATGATAAAATTGATGTGTACACGATAACTTTCGAAAAGGTTGAGATACTAAGTTGAAATTCGGTGAGATTAATATAGCACACAGGAAAACAAAACACCTAAGAAACACCTAGTTAGTGGTGCAAGTTTTTTGTTCATACAAGACGTCTTACAAATGCGGAAAATTCATTGGAAAATAGACGGAAAGAAATCAACCGGATAAAACAAATGATGAGGAAGGAAGGAAATAAAACGAAAATGACGCTTGTTCCATTGAAAGAGGAAATAGTATATTATGTCATTAGGTGATAATATCCCACGTAGGAAATGCCAGTGTTGGAGAAACGGGCCAAGCCTGGCACAAGCCTGGGCTTGCCAAGTCTGGGCGCCCAGGCTTGGACCGAGGTTCGGCCATCCCTGGGGACCAGGGCTTGAGTCTCGGGGGAAGGCCGGGTAACCGAGCCTTGGTTGACAGATCTGGCACAGCCTTGGCCGGACATTGGCATGCCGGAGCTCGATAACCAAGCCTCAGCCAGCGGTGGCCCGGAGCTTGGTCATTGGGCTCCA